CCTAGGACTAAAAGATAAACATACATTCTCAGCCCTACTTGACACAAGCCAGGGTTGTCTTCCCCAAAGGGAGCCTGATCGGCTAGAACAACAGCTTCTAACCTCCCCTTGTATTCAGCTTAATTAATCTACTAATGTACATGTATGACAGTTAGAAAGAATATATGAAATCTTCTTTTACCCATACAATGTTTGTGTTAAATATTAAAACCAATCAAGAAAAAAAAATAAAGATTACAGTATACATGTAAGATATACATCAACCAGTAATATTGTATATCCTTCTCCTTAAAACATAGTATGAGCATGTTCAACATGGAGAATGTGGAGCACTGCAAGGCTTTCTTTTTAATGTTCTTTTCATTTCTAAAGTTCTCCTGTATCCATCTTTGGCATGGCTTTGGCTTTGGCTTCTACCTCTTTGTCATCTTCCGTGTCTGGAAACAAGGTCTGTGAAGTTGCTGCAGATTCTGTGTGAGTGTTTGACTCTCTGTCATTGTCATCATCGTCTGTGTCTTCATATAATGCTGACAAACTAAGCTGAGAAGACTGTAACTCAACTTCAACCTTCTTCAATGATTTGTTCTGATTTTCGATCTCTTTTGCCATGCTCCAATTCTTCTTCGATAATTCACAATTTCTTTTACGCAAGTCTCTGATGGTTTGGTCTGTAGTTGTGATTTTATCATCTATTGCTTCTGCAAAACCATGAATTCGCTTTATGCCATCAGCAACATTATAGCGACCTCCACTCATTCTAGTACACATTCCTATAATGCATAGTGTTGCGCTTTGAATTTCCTTCAAGGTATCCATGGCTGGTATTTTGTCCTGTGAAATAACAACAGAACGTTATGTAAATTTAAGATGAGACATTCTAATACTGTTTTTTTTTTTAATTCTTATTACGATTTTAAAAAAATTCAATTTTTAGGCCAGTCTGGAAGGCTTCTTCTTTTTGTTTGTATGTAAAATATCTACGGTTTGATACTCACAATTTAAGTGGTAAAAAGGACAGCAGATCAGAAGGACTGTCAATTTGTATCCATCAGTTTCTTGAGAAACAAGCTGTTGGCTGTTAAAAAACAAAGAAAGCTAAATCAGACTGACATGCATTTATCATTTCATATCAATCTGAAAAAGTGGTGATTGCATTGAAATGGGAGTACTGCTTTGATTTGACTCATTGTAATTGAGCACCGTACATGTACATCCATTTTATCTCTCTCTTTTTTTTTCTTTCTTTTTTTGTCCATAATTTCAAGCTACATGTACATGTACTGATTAGCTTTGTTGTATTATCTCATTATAATTTATTGACCTGATCTTTTTACGAAAGAGTATTTCTACTTTCATTTGGTACCCCAAATTGCTTTCGTTCTGAAGTTGCAAAACACCACTTTTTCAACACTAGAGCATATTACTGACAGATGAGTACTCTTAGTGGTAACATTTTACTTGATAAGTACAATGTTTGCCATGATATGTTTTGAGTAATATCATTTTCGAAAAGTATCCATATCTTAGATTACATGTAGATGGTCTTTCAGCCATATTGCTTTCACCCTTTAGTCTCTGCACAAATGCATTGCTTATAATATTGTTAAAACCAAATAATTAAATATTTCAATTTTGATTCACAAGTAGACGTGATTTTACTCGGTTATGCATTTGTTTAATTAAGCAGATCACATCTTTATGATGATAGTGAGAGCAATATGTTACCGGCACCACGACAGGGACGTAGACCATTGTATCAAAGCATGTGCAATTTTTTATTGCCTTCACAACATACAAATTTGTAGGCCTTTTAAAGTTATATTGAACATGCTTTGATTGGTGCCATGGTTTTTTTTCCCTCTCTTTTTGTTTTATTTATATCAGAACAAAGATTACAACAATGCCTTCAATACATTAACCTTACATATCATAAATAGCATTTTTTTTCTTCTTCCTGGCTTTTGCAAGTTTTATATTATTCAAAAAAGCATTAAGTTTTAAAGATGTAATGTCAGTGTAGTTTCCTCTCTATAAAACGAAGAGTATTACTATTATAATACACTACATATGATATGTTATCATTTATTTGTCACTACCGGTAACACCCACTTAACCAGAAAAAACTTGCCAATAGGTTGGTTAACATCAAAGCTGGGTTATATAGTTTTGGTAAGATTCAATAATATCAATTATATTGGTCTCTTATGAAATACTCAAACTCTAAAAAGGCAAAGTGACCGTTACGACAATTTTGTACACGCTGTATCTTTGTGAAAATTTGAATTTTACCGTTAGAGCAGAGTTAGCGCCCTCTATTGGCAGTGATATTATTTTCCTCAAAGTAGGCCACCCGAATAATTATTTCATAGATTTAGCTAATTGATATCTAAAAGCTGTACAAACATATTACCCTGAAATTTCTCCTCCCCATCCATGCCTGTGAAGTTCTTTTATATCAGAAAGAAAATATTGCTAATTTTCTTGAACCCTGACTTTTGATATACATTAAAGACACTATTATCGTAATATCATGCCTATTTGTAATGGTTTTTAAATCTCATTTTCAAGCGATATGTGTTTTATTATATAATCTTTCATTCTATCTTACCATAAATTAAAACTTTGAGTTTATATTTTGAGATTTACCAAAACTATACCCCAGCGTTAAACAAATGAAAAATTTTAAATTTCAGAGAAATACATTATAAGATAAATGACGATTAATACATAGCTGTTGCTAACCTTATACTAAACTCTGACATTTATTCTGCATCCGACACCCTGGTAAATTATCATCAACCTGTAACATTGCCTCATCTCTTTTAAAACATCAATAATATATATAGAGAACTTTGTACAAAATACCCAGCGTTAAACAAATGAAAAATTTTAAATTTCAGAGAAATACACTATAAGATAAATGACGGTTAATACATAGCTGTTGCTAACCTTATACTAAACTCTGACATTTATTCTGCATCCAACACCCTGGTAAATTATCATCAACCTGTAACATTGCCTCATCTCTTTTAAAACATCAATAATATATATAGAGAACTTTGTACAAAATGTTATACAAAAGCCACTTATTTCAGATCATATTTTTATTTTGCTTGATTTCAAAGACTACTGTGACAATATTGCATTATGAGCTCTTTTGTTACGCAACTGGCAGAGAGTAAAATCTAAAAATGTTTTCTCATTAATCATTGCATCAAAATATGTCAGTTTTAGTGGGATAAAATCTTGCTTAAATGTTTCGTAAAATAAAGAATAAAATTTCATAGATATTTCACCAATCTACATGTATAATGTACATGTATGAAAAATCTTTTTAAAAATATGAAGTTTTCTTTAACCTGTGTAATTTTTCTGTTGAGTAGTAAAAAGGACGAGGAAAACAAAACAATATACATGCTCCGGTAATATTATATTTCCTTCTCCTTTAACATACTTATATAGATGCTTTCAACATAGAAAATTTGGAGTGCTTGCAAGGCCTAAATAGATTTTACTATCTTTTTAGTTGCTTCAACATTCTCATAACATAATTCATCAATGCCATTTTTTTCTATTTTGTTTTCTCTAGTTAATGATTTAAATACGATTGCAGAGAACAACTTACATGTACTAAAAATAGAAAACAGAATACCATGCGCTTTTCCCTCATTCTATATACATGTACCAGGCACTTTGTGACAACTTTGTCCAAATATGAACATAAATTGTCAGCCCTATTCGACACAAAGCAGGGTTAAAAGCCTAAAACAGACTAAACCAACATCCCCTTGTATTTGTAATTTGAATACTTTCCCCCAGCTGTATCACTTCCCATAAAAGGAAATTAGATGATATCAATATATTCTCTTGACCTCCTGGTACATTGTACATGTACATAATGACACAGAGTTAAAACAATTGTTAAGGATGATACATTGTACATTATACATTGTATGTTATCCATCGCTTGTATATACCGGTAGACAGAATTAAACCACCAGAAAATTTCCAATAAGTTTCACACTGATTATTATTCTCCCAAAGAGAAGTGTGTTAATTTTAGAGATTGAGTAACTTTGTAACTCTTGATTTAAAGATATTGGCTAATATCTTTAGAATTTCAAAAAAGCTCATTTTACTAAAAACTTCAAAATGGTATAAACATATGAGTTATACTTCAAAAATACCAATCTGAATGTCTCATATTATAATATATATGGGAAATACTTTTAAATAGTGAAAATCTGACACAATGTTTGTAAACGATATAAATCTTTTTTTTTTGCAACGGCCGTTTCAATTTCCTTGTTAGAATTTTTTTTAAATCTAATTTTGTTACTTGAAAATGGTATTAACATACATGAGTTGTAGATTAGAAAGACCAATCTCAATGTCTCAAATCGTAATATCTATGGAAAGTATTTGTAAATATGGAAAATCTGAACCAATGCTTTAAAACGATATATAACAATATCTAATGATCGATTCTTACAGGTAATCTACTGCAGTGGGACAGGTGACAAAAAATATTGTGAGCTTTCACATTAATATGCTATTAGGGAAGAATACTATAATAAAAAGGTCCACTGTCAATGATTGCTCTTCAATTGCCCTCATAGTCATAATATGACAATAAGCAGCTAAATGTGCAGGCTACACAGTTGTATGTAGTCCCATACATGCATTTCTGTGTGCAGTGCATGTGACTCTCATCATAATTGAGTTAATTTCTTATCATTTTGGTGATTCCAAAACCTTATAGCATACAACAATTGTTAGGTACAGTGTTATCAACCTTTCCCAATTACTCTGAGACAGTTTCTTCCACAATTCAAATATCACGACGACAACCGTAATTTCCCTTTAATATAACGACGAGAATCAATACTCAGAATCTCTGTTTTGACCTATCTAAAGTGTTTCATTCCAAAATTTTGTTGGTTTCAGGGTTTTTGAGTAAATATTAAGCTATCCATATACATATTTCTTCTGGACTTTGATTTTTTTTTTACAACTATATGCCTACAATGTTATGTTATGTCTTTAATAGATTTTTTTTATTACTATACAATCATTTTCTTTTTTTTTTACTTCTGTGGCTTCATCTGCTTCATCTCTGCCCTCAACTCCTTTACCTCATTTGACAGATATTTTAGTTTCATCTCAATATGTTCTGTTAGTTGAACAATTCTCTCGGCCTTAACATTGATTTGCTCAATTGTTCCCACATCTAGGATCTTGTCAACTTCCATTGTATAACAGTCTCCTCTGATGAGCATTGCTTTCAGGATAATTTCGGTAGTTTCCAAGATGGGGTCCATCTTGTCCTGAATATTAAAACAAATAATATTGTAAGAAATGGTAGAATAACTTATTTCAATATTTCCTAAGTACTATGTTAACAACTTTATTTAACCCCCCCCCCCTCCTCAAAAAAAGAAGAATTGATATCGACATGTTATCTGAATTTCAGTTAAAATATATGTTTTTATGGTACTCTTCCTGGTAAATAAATTCAACAGCAAACTAAATCCCTCTAAATCAAAAGGGCATAACTTTTTAACCATTTTTTGTTGTTGAAAATATAAGTCTTCCCAATCAGCAGCAGTTATTCTTTCACTCAATATAAAGCATCTTTGTCATGTGGGCCTTGTCCAAAGGCTATGCATGAGAGAGCACACATTTAAAGTCACAAGAGTTTTTTTTTTTTTTTTTTTTTTGGGGGGGGGGGGGGTCATTTTCATGAATTCTGTTTCTGGGGCATATTCAATTGCTGTTGTTTATCATCCATTGTTAGACTCCCATCCTAACCCTTTTTTTTCATCAACCCTCCTAATTTTTTGCAAAATCCGTTCAGTGTGCTGAAATAATTAACATCAGATATTAAATGACGATTTTGCCTTTAATTTGGGCTCACTTGTGTGTGTGTTTACAACAATAGTGTTACCTTTTCTAAGCATCTTAGCACCAGACTAAATTGATATACACTGTAGACAAGTTTAGCTATTCAATGAACGACGAGACAAAACAGTCTTGAAATAGAAATTAAAAATAGATTTAATAGATCCCATTCAAATATACATGTATACATGTATAAGACATTTTTACCTACATTGTAGTTAGAGGCGATGCTTATTTTTCAACAAATTCATGCAAACTGAGGCACTGGACTTCTGCTAAAGGATTAAAGCCCCTTATACAAATCACTCCATCTACTACATTCCTCTACCATTAAAATTTTTCAGAAATGACTTCTATGACCTTCACCTTTAAGCTAACTACTCGAAATTCTAGTCGGATCATCTTTCTATGGTGATTTGTACGCCGTGACGTAGCTATATCTACATGATTTGTACACATATCGAATATAAAGTTCATATATTAACCTTTACGAAATAGGGGTGTTTTCAGCTTTCGGGGGGGGGGGGGTGATCTGTGGGCCCCTCCTAAAGATGCGAGCCGATCATCACAAAATTCAGCACCCGCCTCGGAAATTATGCAAACGAAGAGATCTAATTTTCTTTTTTTAATTGCTTATTTCTTTAGTTAAATGTTACAATATTCCATAAAACTTCAAAAGAGTTATTGACAAATTGCCACTGTCCGTTTCATTTCTAAATCTAAATGTATTACATTGTTTTATGACTCCTGATACTTACAGTTATTAAAAGGGGTAAATTTCAGTTTTGAAAAATGATAAATCAAGTCTAAAAAGTGGAATATTACTTATAGACCCAAGAGTTCAAGCAAAAAAGACATGAAGTGGCATTGCTGAAAGCACAACAATTTTTATTGCCCTACAAAACTTGTCTAGGGGGGGGGGGGGGCCTCAAATACCCTTTTACAAATAAATAGATACTGCTGTGTATTTCATTTTATAATGCAATGTTTCTCAACAAACATTACAAAAAGCAAGACTTAAAGGGACTTGGTAACATTGTTCAGATGAATCAATGCTAGATGTACAATTAAAGGGCAAGTCCACTCCAAAAATAACTTACTTTCAATAGAAGCAGAAAAATCGGACAAACCAATCATAAAAAGTTTGAGCAAAATCGGATAACTAATAAGAAAGTTTTGAATTTTTAATGACATGACAAACTTTGAAAATCACTAGATAAATTGGCAACTCACTCATAAGTCTGTGACGTCATGTCCTCACTATCCACTAATTATTATCTTTATATTGATAATATAAATTTCCTTTTTCCCCCTAAGAATCTTATTTCTTCACTCCAGCATCCAAGTTGGATTAATAGCAATATTTTTGTGTGAGGATGCACTAATAAAGACTATTTTTTTTCTAGTTAAATCATGAAAAATTTGACTTTTGATAAACCATTTAAATAAAAATCAATAACGAAAGTAGTATTAATTATTCAAAGTTCATAAAAGATTGTGTGAAATGTCATGCACGCAATATGATATAAATCATATAACATGGGGAAATCAAGTTTTGGGGGATAAAAAGGGAAATTAATGAGATTAAACTACATAAAGCAATTAATAAATAGTGAGGACATGACTTCACAAACTGATAACCGAATTGGCAATTTGTGTAGTGATTTCCATTGTTCCATAGTTTTACATACTTTTTCAAAAATTCATAACTTTCTTATTAGTTATCTGATTTTGCTCAAACTTTTTTCGATGGTTTGTCACATTTTACTCCTATATTAAAAGTCAGTTATTTTTGGAAGGACTTGTATTTTAAAGATAATCTGAAAGTTTGAGTAAAAACAGGACATTATTAATGATACAAATTGATTTTTTTTTCCAGGATATTTTGCATGTTAGAGGGTTAGTACAGTAGAATATAATAAATAACATTTCATACAAAAATTACAGTTTTTTTTTATCAACCTTCAACAATGCTACCTAGTCACTTTAAAGAAAAGGTCGAGTTCTGGGGAGAGGTGAAAATTAATTTGTTAGCATTGTCATTGTAAATGCAAATCTAAAAGAACATCAGAGAAAAAAATCTTCCCTGAAAAGCATGGCTCTTCAAATGCCTTAATATTCTAAATATGACAAGTTGAGCAACTTTAAGATGAGGCCAGATTTTTATGCCACATGTTTGTGTAGTCCCATATACATCTTTCTGTGTACAGTGCTTGTTACGTTACCAAGACTGGGCCAAATTTCTAATCATTTTGATGACTCCAGAGCAGTCCACACCAATCTTTAATATATGCTACATGATCAACTTTTTATGATAGATTCAACACTGTTTCTTTCACAATGCAATCGCATGACCAGAACTCAACTTTATCTTTAATAAGAGCAGTTAATTAGTTTTTCCATGCAGCTTTACAGTCCATTGCTCTCTGATTTATAGAATGTTTTTTGAACTCGAGGCTTGCAAAAGGAATATTTACTACTTCTAACTATTTGGGGGGACTTGCCCCCTAGACAGTTTATATTACTTTTCAAACAATTTAACAAGCTTAGAATAGCCCTAGTTCGTGGGATTCATTTGTTTCAGATTATTTGTATGATTAAGTTTATTTGTACAAATGTTTTATTAGACTTATGTGTGTTGCACAAGCTCATTGCATCTGGCATGGGTTCTCTGGGCACGGGTGTCTCACCAGTCAATAGAATTCTTTTCACTTTTCATTTTCAATGGCTAAAAAAGTTTTTCATCGATTCCATTCACATTGAAACAAAAACTATATATGCTTGTTGTTGTTTTTCTTCACAATTCACACTAAATTTGAATACTAGTTCAGGAGAAAGATATAGTAAAAAAAAAAAAAAAGTAAAATAAATGTGTACACCTTATAGAAGTCTTGAACCAGTCAGAATAGATACAACTGTATGACACCATGTACCTATAAGAGGCAAGTGAATGTATAGTAGCCGTTTATATCTAGTGTTGGCCAACTGTAGATCACTATAGATATTTCAGATTTCCATGGTATTTGGCAATAATAACAGTTGATCAGATTCAAAGTCAGTTTTCGATTTATAAGCACACTAGTTCTCTAATTTGTTTAGAGATTGATAAACTTGATATATCATTTAGTGTGAGTAAATATAAATAAATCAAACCATACCAACCAATGACTTTAGTAGTTTATGCTTGTTGGCTATCAATTTCAATGTGAATAGGATCCATGAAATGCTTCTTGAGATATTGAAATGAAAAAAATGCAAAGAGATCTATTTAACTCCTGGTGCATGCTGTATGCAATGAACTTAGATGCTTTCCCTATGTTAACCCTATGTTAACCCTAGTCCCTACCATATTGTTAGGTCCTGTCCTAGTGACGTTCTATAGGGAGCATTGGCGACTTACTTGTGTTGAGCCTATGCTCGGTCGCACCACCATACTCCTATATTAGGCACCGTGTCTTTTATTTCAATTGTGTATGACCGGAATTCTGTATTCGTACGCCCTATTAGGACTGTTGGACTTCAGCCACTTGCTTCGGCACGTACTAGCCCAGAATTCTTCGTACAGGTCATATTCACAGGACTATACTAACCAAGTGTGTTGGCTTCTCAGATGCTCGGATGCTAGGATGTTCTGTTATCTTCTCAGATGCTCGGATGTTAAAATGTTTTGTTGGATTCTCAGATGCTTGGATGCTAGGATGTTCTGTTAGATTCTCTGATGCTAGGATGTTCTGATGTTGAACTCTCAAAAATTGATAACTGACTGTAAAATTAGCCTCTATATATACCTATTGGAAGGATCCTGGGCACTAAATATACTAATTAGAAGTTCGTCCATAACCAATCAAATTTCCAAGTGCCATAACGGACCAATAAACTTACACATGCAAATAAGGAACTTATCAGACATTTTATGTCTACCTTTGTTTGTGGATCCTAAGACAATAATGTATGGCCAATAAAATCTTAGATGCAAATGGGTAGCTCCAAAAGCAAAAACTCTTAGCCAGTTAAATCATTTGTTTTTCCCTCCTCATATGCAAAGCATATGCAAAACATAAACTTATCAAAGAAGCTGAGGCTATTGGTTCTTTGTGGATCTTAAATAGCAAATCAGATCTATCATGCAAATAAAAGATCCCTCATATTTCCCTCCTAATATGCAAATCACCCTCCTAATATGCAAATCACAAGCCTATCAGACATGCGCAGATTTGGTTAACTTCTTCCTTGTCTGTGGATCCTGCAGCAAATCTATGATCCTCGTGCAACCGTCTCGCGTGAATCTGTATCTCTTATGGAGTTCTCGGTCATTATATATGTCTAATGGGTTGGTTCGATCTCTAAAAACCCTCTCTCGCCTCAATGCTCTTCTCATCACTTCCTCCTCCTCTTCGAATACAAAAAAACCTACCGCCATGATTGAATATCAAACTCTATAGGCTACCGGAGACTTTGAATACTTATGAGAGGTAAAAGTCTCTCATAACTTTATGAGAGACTTTTGACTTAAGAGAGACTTTTATGTGTAGACTTTGCTTTATGAAACAGAAAAGTCTCTCATAACTAAAGTCTCTCATAAGTAGGACACTTAAGAGAGACTTTGGGGTTTATGTCTAGACATAAATTCTTTATGAAACACCCCCCTGAAAGCCAATCAAACATCATATTCAAATAGATAGATCCTGGGACAAAACTCTTAGCCAATGAAATTTCTTTATTTTTCCCTCCTATATGCAAAGTATATGTAAATTAGACAGGCACAGGTGCTTCTTTGTCTGCACAAGATTCTGGTGCAAAGCTTTAGCCAATCAAAACTACAGCTCATACATCCCCTAGACATGTGCCCTGGGCATGTACTATGTGTTAAAGGGATAGTTGGGTTTGGTATAGAGAGTACAGTTTGGGTCAAACTGAATTTTAGTAACCAAAACCTGCATCATTAAAAACTAGTAGTTAATAACTGCACCATGCTCGAGAGGTATACAAAAAATTACAAAGGACTTGGTAATAAGCCTGTTAACAATTAAAAAGAGCAGTTAAACCACATGGGAGAGTTCTCTAAAAAGTCATCGGTTTCATCCAATTTTGATAATACAATTGAGCATGTTATGCTTTGTTAAAATAATGATTAAATAGAGAGATCATCAGCAACTGCTTAAAAGCATCGGCTAGTTAAGAATTATTTAATATTTTCGAGGCCCCACAAATATAAAAAATGGTTATATTTATGGATATTTCAGCCGTATCTGAACTGATTTTGACCAAACAAAAATGATTTTGTCATTTAAATTGTATGCTCTTTCAAATTTGACACTCAGTTTTTCATTTTCTTCACAAAAAAACAATTGTGTAGCGCCCTCTATACCAAAACTCAACTATCCCTTTAACATGTATGTTAAGACTGCATGCTTTTCTGTTTCTCACCTTTGCCCTTTTTTCTTTCATCTTTCTATTTAGTTATCTATAAGAATTGCAATAAAAAGTATTATTTCAGTTTTAAAATCATTTTGATTCACATATAATTCTAAACCTTTTATTAAACAATGTGAGTGTATTAGCAAAATTCACAATGTGGACATGGCAACATGATGTTAACCTTCAATATACAGGATGGCCCAGAAAAATACAATGGTAAACTCCCATAACATAGTGACAAAACAACTAGTTTTACTGGGTGGGAAATCTTTTACTGAGAAAAATGCTACAAGGATCAGCCATTTGGGTTTCTTCCATGATTAAATTTATGTTACTTAAATGCACTACTTTGTATGATCCCTCAAAATTGAGTTGATTTCTTAATCTTCATAGCCTTCAGGGGTGACATTCTGTAAGGAAAAATTTCAATTAAAGAGCAAGTCTTAAACTTGATCTTAAGATCTACAACTTTTCAAGATAAGATCAACTCCAAAAAGTTGATCTTTAGTGTATGCACATTTATGTAAATTACCTGTCCTAAGATAAGACATATTCTGTAACCACATTTAGGATCAACATGCTCCTAAACTTAAAGCCACACTGTACTACTTGTAGCTACTTGCTCCCTCTATATAAAAAACTGTGCCTGTTGGTCCCCCATGATTGTTATATTAATTGAAAGCTGAGTTAATGAGATAGCCACCTGTCACAGTGACCTCGCTGGGTGGTCTAATCCCTTCTGGCTGAACTATTACAGCCGGCCTTTAAAGGGATCCGGTAACTTTGTCTTTAGATCCTTTAAAAAAATCCTTGATTTAGCTCATGATGCAATATTAAACCTTTAGGTCAGTCAGGAACCCCATGATTTTTACAAGCCGATCGCCTGTCTGATTATCAAGATATTTATGATTGAAAATCAAAATCAGATTTTGCTTTTCCCAAACGATTTCATAACACTACAGTCTATTAGGGAAAACGAGTATGGTAAAACCGGTCACTCAAAAATTTTAAATTTTTTGAGGTACTTCTTGATCATTTTGAAGCGCAATTGTTTTAGGGCTTCAACCACATCACAGACACTGATAACACGTAAGGCTGCATGTGCATCTCAGATTTAACATTGTTAAACAATCCCTTTAAGACTACCGTACCCTGTCTTAGCCATCAAAATAATACACAAACGCTTGCGCATAAGACAAGATAACGCACACTTTAATAGTGAACAATCAAACTCGAGTAGCCAAAGCCACGCACCAAGTTGGTTAGATTACATCTTCATGGCACAGATTAATTACCGGTAATTATTATTCATGCTAAGATCGTCCTAAGGCCATTTAAAAAAAAAAATGTTTAGCATCCTGCCTTTTTCAAAAATAGGAAGGAGGTGCAAATATTGCGAATATACTACCTGACATTCGGGCTATTTTCCAAGATGGCTACCAGAATTTTTGTTTTCTTTATTTCTAATCAAAAGTTGATCATTTTAACAGTATGATTTTCATGTTTTTATTCATTGAAGAAGAAAAAAATTATTTAAACAAAATATTTAAAATAAGATGCGGCCCTAAAAAAAGAATTCAATGGCCTAAGATCAACATAGAGAATACCAATTTTGCCGATCTTACTTCTTAGAGAGGTCTATAAAGTTGGTCTTGAGATCAACTCCTAAGATCAACTTTAGGATACCACCCCAGGACTTTGTCAGGTTTATTTACAATATGAACATAGGTTTGACAAATCTCAACAGATAAATGACTTTTTCATAGTACTTCAGACTGTACATTAAAACTCTCTATTTAAATACAGAATGTAAAGATTTTTAAATTACTATTCTTAGTATAGTATTTAACGTATGTATTTATAAGTCATATCTCATGTAATAATGTGTTGGTATCTGCAACCAGTGTCATTGATCCAGTGAGTCAGAATATGATATGGGAGGTGAGAAGGGAAGGGTTAGGCACTTACCCTCTGAAATGTAAAATAAATGGGGAATACAATTACTTCACTTGATCTTTCCATGAAGTCTTTTTTTAACACCACCAATATTATTTGAAAATGTATCAATTCATCAGCCTAACCAACTTCCAAATACCTTTCTTTCATAAGAGCTATTTTTAATTGAGAGAACAAATGTCCACAGGGGCTATTTTAGGGCTGACAGGGGCTTTTTTGTCTTGTATTTATTTGTTCTCATTTTAGTTTTATATTTATATTTCTCAAACATATTGTAAGACATGATTAAAAACATCCTGTCCTATACTGAAGACAAATATTATCCGTCAAATATAAAGAGCATTATGTATGCATTGGTCTAACTAATAAATGTGATAAACACAGCAAAGGCAATTTTATAACAATTTTATTTTTTGTTCGCCCCTGTGTATTTTTTTTCCTTAAAGCCCAAGTCCACTCCAAAAATAAGTTTCTTTCAATAAAACCAGAAAAATCAGACAAACCAATCAAAAAAAGTTTGAGCAAACTCGGATAACTAATAACTAAGAAAGTTATGAATTTTTAATGACATGAAAAACTTTGAAAATCACTACAAAAATTGGCAACTCACTCACTCACTCATGTCTGTGACGTATGGTCCTCACTATCCACTAACTATTTTCTTTATATTGATAATATAAATTTCCTATTTGCACCCTAAGAATCTTATTTCTTCACACCAGCATCCAAGTTAGATTGTTATTAATATTTGTATGTGTGGATGCACAAATAAAGAGTAATTTATGTCCAGTTAAATCATGAAAAATTGAATTTTGATAAACTATTTATATAAAAATCAATAATTATGAAATAGAATATTCAGAAAATAGTATCAATTATTCAAAATTCATAAAAGTTTTTGGGAAATGTCATGCACGCAATATGATACAAATGATATAACCTTGGCAAAGGCATGGGGAAATCAAGTTTTGGGGGATAAAAAGGGAAATTAATGGGATAAAACTATATAAAGCAATTGATAAGTTGTGAGGACATGACGTCACAAACTGATAACCATCTTGGCAATTTGTGTTGTGATTCTCATTGTTCCATAGTTTTACATACTTTTTTCAAAAATTCATAACTTTCTTAATAGTTATCCGATTTTCCTCAAACTTTTTTTGATTGGTTTGTCTGATTTTTGTGCTTTTATTGAAAGTAAGTTTTTTTTCGAGTGGACTTGTCCTTTAAGCCTTACACATCTCAAAAACCCATTGACAGAT